CTAGGAAGATTATGATGGACCTCTCCCATCCCAACAATGGACTCTTCTCACTGTTGAGGTCTGGGAAGCGCTTCTGCTCCTTTAAGGCCAAAACAGAGAGGATGAGGAGGAGCTTCTTCCCCCAGGCTATTCGGGCCCTGAACCAGGTGTAGGACTGGACTCTCCCACACACGTCACTATAAGACTGGACTCTCACACACACATCACATCACCACACACACGCTGGTTTTTCTTTATGCACACTTCCTATAATTTAAAATCTTTATAATCTCTTTCTACTATTTGCACATTTTTTTTTACTGTAAATTTCTAAGTTAATTTGTAAACTTTTGTAGTAACCTGTAAATTGTAAATACTGCAAAACCACTGTCATTTAATGGTTGGGCATTGCACAGCTACAAGCATTTCACCCTCATGTCATACTGTGTATGGTTGTGTGTGTGTGACAAATAAAAATTTGAATTTATACTACAATAACTGAAGCAGTTGTGCAGATTTGTTTCTGTTTGTTTCCTCCCGCTCCACCACACTACGCTGTCATTACAAATTTACACATAAACACATATTTCTAGAGGGCCTTACAGGGCTCAGTTTCTGATGTAGTACCAACTGTCATATTGTACATTTTCAATTGAATAAAATGGCAGGATGCCACTCAACTGGCAAGCACAGGTGCACCATCTCACACCAAATGTCCACACAGGCGCACACACTCACCTGCAAGGCATAAAACCAATGTTCTGATATTGCAAACACACCTCAAAAAATGCTAATTTCCTACTAATTGACTAATTGTCAAATAATAAAATAGCAGCTTAAGATATGATGAAACGTTTTGTAATCCATCGGTCATCTGTGTTTTGAATATTGATTGATTGATTAGTAAGAACAGGGGGCTTTTAATCATAAAATAAAATAGTGTTTATTTTTTTTCATTCAGACAGGAAATAGTGCTGCTTCTTGCCCTCGCTATGCAAATGGACCACATGTGTAGAGAGAGTCAGTCAGAAATTTATTCTCAGTTTGTTCCCATGAAATCCACAATGCAGCGGCAACCTCGTGAACCCTGCTGCAGGTCAGAGTCAGGCCAACGATATTTTGTTTGCATGCTGCTGAAATCCTTACTCTGTTTATTTAGTCTTATGAAGTAAATGTGCTGGGGCTGCAAGTGAAACTTCAAAATAAAGCCTGTGTTTTGTTGAGTGTGTTCACGTTGACCCAGCTCCCGTCTGGGGAGAAGAGCTGTGTTTATGTGATTCTCACAAACAATGCACCCATCTGAACCAGAAATAATTCTGAATCCTACTTTGTAAGAGAAACTAGGTTGTAATTATTTTACTTCAGGGTTGATGCATTACAGTGCCAGGATACTGGTCAGAATGGAGTCAGACAGGCCTGTGCACTGACATGCATCCACATTACCTTAAAACGCATGTGTAGAATCCACTGTCTTCCAATTCAGCAGATCTGAACCAGATGGAGTCATCTTCTTTACTCAGCCTGTGACCCGAGAAGATGATGGGCTCCTAAAAGATACAATAAGTAGAAGATTATCCAATCTAATAAAACAGGACTCTTATAATATGTATTAATGGAATCAACGATACAGAGCATGTATCTATAATCTGTAACGACTTCCTCTTGACCAAGAATTGACAACGGTAATGTGGTTGCTATGAAAAAATGTTATACATTTTAATAATATACCAAGTATTACCTTGCTACTCAGATATGCTGTTCATAATTTGAGACATTTTAATATACACAGGCTTATGGAAGTTAGTGATAAACACAAATGAGTGCACTTCTTTGATTTCTTCTTCACTCACATTTGTCCCTCACTACATGTTTATACACAACTCTGCATTTAATCATTAGTTGTTATTAATCTTTGTCCTGTCTCCTTCCCTCACTCCCAACTCGTCGCAGCAGATTGGCCGCCCCTCCCTGAACCTGTTTCTCCAGGAGGTTTGTACTTTTAAATTTATGCTTACATATACCTATACTTATATAATAATTACAGTTATTATAATAATTAGAGAAAGCAAATTATTCTTTAAAAATAATGCTTGAATGTTTTTGAGTTTTTTACAGCTTGAAGGACCTCTGTTACCTTTTTGGAAAGAAATTTAAACATGAAAAACTACACTCCAATTTGTGGAGCGTTTCCACTCAACCAGATGGTTAATCCAGCTTTTTTGGGGGGAAAACTTATCTTTTTATTTATTCCAGTTGGTGTAATAAAAAATAAAAAAATCATGGTCTTGGTTTGTTAACTTTGCAAATTCAGGTGCTGACTGAAAATCTGTTGCTGCGTGGTACAGACCAAACATGAAGGTTTGAAGTGTAAAATTCTTGTATGTAGCACTAATGAGCAGATATTTGTGTGAGCTGCACCAATAAGGTTTATGGCAACAGCACGCTAACCGAGTGGCATTATTTGATAACACATGGCACGTGGTGTTAAAAAAACAAAAAATCGCTAATACCGAGGCTTCAAAATTGCAGACTCCAAAAGCCAACGGCGCAGAGGTCACATCCGTGTTCTAAGCAGTCTCAGGGCTGCTCAGGTTATGGTTAGGTTAAATTAATGCTTTTTGGTAATTAACTTTTTAAATTTCCATTTCATGGTGTCTTCCTTGAAATTCATGATTCTTCTTCCCTGCCTCATCTTTCCTTCCACATCAGTTGTAGTTCAGACCAGTGACGCTCACCTCTGCATCGCCTTTGTTCTTGTACCAGATGAGGCGCAGCTTGGCGTTTGTGGCCATGGTGTAGTTGGTTCGGATGTAGCTGTAGAACAAGGCACATTTAACTCGAACAGGCTCACCAGCCAATACGTGGTACTCCTTCAGATCCACAGACCAGTCAATGCATCCATCCACTGCGAGGGGGAACACAGAGAAGAGAAATATTGAGGACATACACCATTATACACCAAATACTGCAGGAGAGAGAAACACTGATTAAAACTCAAACAACACAGGAAGCGAAACACGAACATAAACAGCAAAAACAAAAATCCTCACTCAGCCAAGGGTTTATATAAGATATGTATAAGTAAAAACATAAAGAAAAATGCTTGACAGGAGAAAGAAACGAGGATGTGAGAGAGCCAGAGAGTGTGAGTGACAGGGATATTGTTTTATCTCATTTCTTTGGTAATATTATTCTTTACCTTCAAAGCAATAGAACATTGAATGTAAATATTTTAACAGTTAGTCTGTTCTTTTGTTTCAGGGGAGGGAGGGGGGGCAACATAGTGGAAGATTAAACGAGTTACAAAAAAAAGTGTAGCATTTTTTTCTTAAATGTTGAAGGTACAAACACAGGAGGGTGTCAGAAATAAACTTCTTGTGAGAACAGACAAACAAAGTTCATTCTATTTTCTTTTGATTTCATCCCTACGACCAAATGTTTCTCTTCACTGTTATTTGTATAGAGTTTTTTTTCATACACCAAGTATGAAAAAAAAAGTAAGGACTGCTTACTAAGTATTGCTTTAGTAATTGGAGAAAATGTGTGCGAGATAAAAAGACAGAAATTCAGAATATGAAACATGGAGGGAGAGGTCATGACCAAAGGAACAGATGAAAGAGGAAGTGTGCTGCGGCAGTGTTGGGGTGAGTCCAGGTCAACAAGAACGAACAGAAAACAACTTGTAGATGTGAGACAAGTTTGAGATGGCGAGATGTTAGAGGTCGAAAAAAAAGACAAAGAGCTTGCCCTTCTGTTTTTTTCCTTTCCTCTCTGTCCCTCATTCCTCTCACTTCTTTTAGTTTTCCTTGTGGTCTGAGCCTCAGATAGCTGTGCTCTGTTTTAACTGTCACCCTCAGGCACTTGCCACAAGGCCTTCCCTCTGAATTACAGCCTGTAGCAATAAAGCCTCTGGTTCTGTCATCCACTTCAAAATACCTCTTATGTCTCTCATCTGTACTCTCCCCCTCTTGTTTATTAGTGTTGTCATAAATAGCGTATGTATGCTAGTTGGATTAGAACAGACCATAAGCTCTGAATGGCATCTAAAATTTGGCTGTGATATCATCTTTTTTCCCCCCAGCAGTGGAACGATACCGTTGACCACAATATCACAGCATGACTTAAGTAAGGAAAATGGAATCTGGAGGAAAGTTGTTCAGATGAACATGTCCTCTACCCACATACCAAGGAGGTCTGGCCCGGATCTAGTATGAAGCTGGCACTGCTGACTTCTGGCATGATAAGACGTATGCCATCCAGATATGGGCCAGGCCTGGCATAGATGGCACCGTTTATGTGATGGCATGCCATATCTGGCTCGATTGTGGTTTGCTTCATGGGCCCAGGCTCACAGAAAACAGGTCTGGCCCGGATCTGGCATCAAGCTGGCACTTCTGACTGACTGGTGTCATGGCAGGGTGTATGTCAACCATATGTGTACCAGGTCTGGCAATGACGTCACTGTTTATGGCATGGCATGCCATATCTGGCTCGATTGTGGTTTGATTTATGCAGCCCAGGCCCATAGAAAACAGGTCTTCCCTGGATCCGGCTGGTGCTTCTGACTGACTGGTGTCATGGCAGGGTGTATGTCAACCAGATGTGGATCAGGTCTGGCAATGAAGCACTATTTATGTTCCTGTTTTCCTATTTTAGCTAGAAGACCCAAATGCCATGTTGGAATACTATACTGCTATGGTAGCCAATGTTTCAAATGCAGGTTTGTGAGTGTACACTTTATCCAAAGCCTAGTGACGGTTTACTCATCGTTGCCAGTGGGTGGCTATAGCTCAGGAGTTGGAGCAAGTCACCTACTGATCGCAAGGTTAGTAGTTCGATCCCTGGCTCTTCCAGTCTGCATGTCAAGAGTGTCAATGTGAATGAATGTAGCTAGGAAGCACTCAGTTTAGAGAAAGTGTGAGATATTGTGAATGTGTTGTGTATAGCACTTTAAGTAATCTGGGCGAGTAGAAAAGCGCTGTATAAGAGTCAGTCCATTCACTGTCTGAACAGAGTTTCGTCATGTTACTTTTGCACTATTATGTTGTTATTACATGGCTTGATTAAGGTACACATTAGGCTGACATCTGGGGCCAGAGCTGAAACTGTTCTGGGCCAGCACAGGGCCAGCAGTGTGTCTACAACTGGCCCGTGGCTGCACACAACTTACACATGGCCCACATACTGCAAAGAATGACGGCCCTTTGGTGGCCCAGATCAGGTTTGCCAGAGGTAATCCACACATGGGCCAGGACAGGACCACCAGTGTGTCTGCAACTTGCCTTGTGCTGGCCCATGTGTGGGCCACCTCTGGCAAACCAAATCTGGGCCACCAAAGGGTCATCATTCTTTGCGGTATGTGGGCCATGTGTAAGCACATTGAGTGGGCCTGATCCGAGTCTTACCAATTTTATTATGTGGGTATATTTTAATATGCACATCTGGGTTTAAGGTTTGGCTTTAGCTTAGCTAACACTGCTAGCATAATGGACAGGTTTTTGATGGGGCTCCCACCTCCCACACAAAAGCATAGTCAAATATGCTTCCAAACCAACTTCCTTCCAAGCCAAAGACTAGAAGATATGATATCTTGCCTTTGGCTTCACCTGCGAAGATTTTCTTGTAAAACAAAGGTAAGCCTAGCAAAAAAAGTTTGGGAACCACTGGTCTGGTCTAACTCCAAATTACTTGTGATACAAAGTATCCCACGTCAAAAATACAACTGAATCAAATACAAACACATGTCTGTCCCAGCAGCTTGTCATAACAGGAATATATATAATCATGGCTCAGTAGCATATTCACTGGCATTGGGCCATTGTTGGCAAAATTTGCTGGGTCTGTGCTTTTTGGACACAGGATACAGGTTGTGGATCGTTACATTGGCTAGCTCTATAAGTCAATGTAAACATGTTTTAGCACTCTGTATGATGTGTCAGGTGTAATTTGTGTTGAGTTAAGTCACTACCAAAGATTTAACGACTTTATTTGCACCAGTTTGCGGTTTAAAATTACAGCCACATACTTAACTGGTACATTTATAGATTTAGCAATATGCATTAAGTCATACTGTGGCAGGAGAGATTCAGCATCACTGCACACACACTCATGTACAGACACACGGCAGATTTATTACACACACGATCACTCATTCACCTTCTCAAATTAGTGCTCGTCCTCATCTCCCACTACACATGCACCAACAGCAGTCATTTAATCAGTGACAAGCTTGACAGATAGTCATAAAAACTGTGCCGATCTGTCATGAAACACACAGTTTCACAGACTAAAAAAACATTTTTTTCATGAGAAAGGTAAAAAAGCCTGAAATTCTGTGCGAGTGTGTGTATGTGTCTGCGCAAATGTGTGTGTAAAAGAATTAAGTAATGAATTGGCCAGTCAGACTTGGTGGTTGTAAATTAATGAGCTGACACGAACTGAAGATGTTAGTGTAGTCCACTCAACACCTAACACACACACAGGATGCACCCAGGGCATCACATTAATAGAAAAATCACATTAGTTTGGTCGGCTGGACTAATGTGATTTGTTTGAGACAATGTTTAACACAGGTCAGACACACACACACACAC